ACGCAAAATTCAACAAAAAGTGCGAGTTCGTGTTTCTCTGGTTGGAGTCCTTCATTTTAGAGTAAATGTCTTTTTTGGTCCTCAGCAAATTTCACGATACCCGCTTTAGTCCCTAGCAAATAAAAAGGTCCATCGTGATCCCTAAGAAATTCAAAATAGACCCATTTTAGTCTTTTGAGGGACTAATATAGGTATTTTTTGAATTTGTGAGAGACCACGATTTCAACTAATTGAGTTCATTTTGAATTTCTTAGGGACCACGATGGGCCTTTTTATTTGTTAGGGACTAAAACGAGCATCATAAAATTTGCTGAGGACAAAAAAATATTTACTGATTTTAACTTACTGTTTCACAAAAGATTCTCGCAAGCTTGGCGTGCTTGACCCATTATTATACTGGTCCACAACAAAGACTATAGTTATAATCCATTATGATAAATACACAGTCCACCTAGAAAGATAATATTGGACTTATGTTATCAAAAAAAAAAAAAAATATTGGACTTAGACAGAAAAACGATTTATGAGAAAAATATAATAAATAGAAATCAAATTTAAAACTTTGGAGCAGCCAGTATATATATATATATATATATATATATATATATATATATATATATATATATATATATATATATATATATATATATATATATATATATATATATATATATATAGGATAAAGATCATTTTATACCAGTGTAAGTTATACTCTTAATCTTGTCCGTTAATTTCACTTATATCTAAAGACTCAATTTTTATAATGTGAGTCATTGGATACAAGTGGATCAATGGTCAAGATTGAGTGTAAAACTTCTAACTCTTATACCGGTGTAAGAATATCCTGCCCCATATATATATATGAGGCAGGATCCTTTGACACTGGTGTCAAAAAAAAAGTTTGACACCTCATCTGATTGCCGTTAGATTAAAAAAAATCAACGATTCTGATCTGTAAGCATGTGACACCATTGATTTTTTTTAATCTAACGGCTCTCAGATGAGGTGTCAAACTTTTTTTTTGACACCAGTGTCAAAGGATCCTGTCTCTCTCTATATATATATATAGGGAAAAACATTTCTCAAGCAGCTTGAGATAAGTTTATCTCCGGCTACCCCAAAACTATGTCGTTTTATTTATTTATTTCTTTATATTAATTGATTCACCTTTGAATGGTTATGATTCCCTTTTTCTCTCTTTTCCTTTATCACCATTGATCCATCTTTGTACGGTTATGATTTTGTAGCCGGAGATAAACTTACCTCAAGCTGCTTGAGAAACGATAAGCCCATATATATATATATATATATATATATTAAGCTATTGGGTGGGGCTACATTAATGATTTTACATATTTCTAATACGCTCTCTCATACAAAAGCTCATTGGGCTTGAATGGTGGACAATGCACAGGCCCACCTACCTGAGTTAAGAAACTCCACAAGACTAAATTCATTAATAATTAAATGAGGGACGATATGAGCTTTAGTGACCACAAGGTCACGAATTTGATTTTCATTTTCCCAACTTCCTAGTAGAATTAAATAAGCACAAGTAAAATAAAAAAATGGGCCTGTGCAATATCCAAGTTTCAAGCCCAAATGACTTTTGGATGATGAGGTGTATTAGAGAATAATATTAACCATTAAAAAGGCCTTTATCCAAAAGGCTTGAAGCGTGGATATTGCATTGTCTATATTTCTCTAACATGCCACCTCACATAAGAGTCCACTAAGCTTAAAAGTTGAAAGTATAAATAATGCACATGCTCACCTAACTGTGCTAAAAAAATTTCCGCTGATATATAAAGAATTAATTCAATCCAAGAGCTTATGCTATTGGTAAGGGTGTTCGTGGTTCGATTTTGATGCAAAAAATCATCCGATCCAATCCATTCGATTTAATCATTTAATCATCCATTCGATTTGGATTTTTTTTTTCAAATCCAATCCAATCCAATTCAATTTTATTCGATTTGGATTGGGTAAATTTTCGAGTTTTTGAAAAACCTAAAAATAGAACGTATAGGAATTATTTTTACCAAAATGAGCATTATTTATCATGAATCCTTTGTACTGGTACTAGCAGAAAATTTTGGCAATCGGGGAGTAGTGAGTTTTCCTTATTCACTAACAACAAAAAGTACTTGATTACTGTTCTACTAAAAAAAATTACCTGATCGCAAATTGAATAAATACCCTAGAAAGAAATTCTATAACATAACCAAAGTAAACTTAAAATATTAAACTAAATTCTTCCAACCCATATTTGGGAATAGATCCAAGTAAGTAGAGAGCAAGTTTGGATCAGTTTTCCCCGACCAAACTGAAAACAGATCCAATTCAATTATAATTTGTGATTTTTTTTGGATTTTCAATTAATTCAGTTATTAATTTTTCGATTTGGTCACCGTAGTTTGAGTTGATTGATAAACATTCTTTGGATGAGAGTTTTTTTTTATTAATTTATATTATTTTCTAATAATATATATTAAAAAAATTATATACTTATGATAACGTTTTGTCAATAATCTGCGATGATTTGGCATAACACTTCAAAAAAGGACAAATTTCGATGTATAACACTGCTCAACTTTATGAGGATAAGACTGATTATTGATTATTGATTATAGATTAAAGTGTTTTTTTGGATTCTTAAAAAATATCATCTAGTCTAATTTAATTTCTTAAAAATGAAAAGTTGATTTGTAATCCTTCTCGAATTCGAAATAGATCCATATTAATTCTTTTGAGAAATTAACATGTGTATTCTTTGAATTTTCGAGAGACCACAATTTTGATTAACTGAATCTATTTTGAATTGAAAGGAATCACAAAATGACATTTTTTTAGGGGTTTATATTTCTGCAGCTGCTCTACGTGTATCGGTCAAATACTTGCAATATATATACGTGAAATCATTGAATGTGGAGAATTATAACCATACAAAGGATGAAAGCATTAAATGTAGAAAATCATAACCATACACCTATAATTATTGTACGTGAAATCAGTGTAGAAATAATTTTACCTTTTTTTAAGGGTATTAAAAAAGACCTCATAATTTTTGTTGAAAAACTACCCATCATGCTGACCTGTGGAGGCGTGGACTCAAATGGGTCATGTTTGTATTAGTAAAAATGATGCGAATTATTATCATATTATAGCATGGGATAACTTCGATCAACCTCCATTTTGTTTTTCAAGAAACAGAGTTCAAATTTTGGTAATTTTGACATAATTTGGTGCAAATAGGGGTGTAAATAGATTAGACTTTGGTTTAAATAAATTAGGCTTGTCTAAAAAATTGGGTCTGGCTTGTTAGTCTATATAAGCCCCAAATTACAAGTCTGACCTGACTTATATTTAAAAAATAAAAAAGTCTTGGTCTAGACCTGTTAGTCTGTTTAAGCCTATTAAATATTCAAAATTAAAAGAAGGGTTCATTTTTTCTGAAATCAATGTAGATAAGTTATCTACATTGAGCCTAAAACGATGTCGTTTTACGACGAAAATCAAGTATTTTTATAATTATAATTTATTTCACGGTTATACTAGTCTTTCTCATTATAATTTTTTAATCTTTCGCTACAAAACGACGTCGTTTTGGGAGTGAATGTAGATAATTTATCTACATTCACTTTAGAAATATTAAAGTCTTAAAAGAATAACTAAAATAATATTATTTTATTATTCAATATTATTAAAATCATAATTTTATTATTTTATTTAAAATAAATAATATAATATAGGCCGACATAGACTTATAGACACGACATATACAAAAAAGTCTATGACTTATTTTTTAAATAAATTTTTTTAAAAATTTAAGCTTGTCCTATTTTATTATTTTTAATAAGTCAAGTTTAACCAAATGAAGCAATAAGTCTCTATATACTGACTTAACCCATTTACATATCTAACTGCAAATCATAGGTCAATTAATGTAATTCATTTAAGTTTAATTTTAATTTTAATTTTTTTAAATTTATACATGTCAACGCTCGTAACCCGAGATTTTCGAGTCTTACGAGTTTGAATCTGTCACCCGCAACAAAATAAATTAAACAATCTCACTCTTTTTTTTATATAGAAATATTTTAATTGATTATTATTTCACGATTAGCCTGATTCGAAATGGATCTAGAATTAAAATTTTTAATTCATTCCAAAGATAATACTGAAAAAATTGAACACATATTCCCATTCCTATCACCTGCTCAATTTTTATATACCAACTGAACTACACAGTTTGTTAAAACAAATAATCTGGCTCTAAATCAACCTTAATACAACACGAATCCATATTTGCCAATTTGTTTAATGTTAATGTAACATGAATTTGACATATTTCTAAATTTAGGGAAAAAAATGCGTGATATAAAGAAGTGTAGACTTATATTTACAAACTTTTTTTTTTTGGTGAAAGATATTTACAAACTTTTTATTTATAAACTTTTACAAACTATATTATATACTCTCAGAAGAACACTAAGTTATATTATATTCTTCCAATAATACATAATATAATTTACAAAATTTTATAAAAAAATTTATAAACGGATCATTCCCGTATAAAAAAGAAGGGTTTTCGTGTTATCCTTTAACATAACACGGCAAACTTTCCTACTCTCACAATATTTTGTGGGGCCCACACTTTTTAAAACAAAAAAATAAATAAAAAATTAAGGCATGCAAAACGAATCTCTATAACATTACACAATCACTTTTCCTACAACATAACTCTTATAAAACCCAAAAAAGAATATTGAAACTTGGCGACCACCAGTTTTTATTTTTTTTATTCATATAATCAAACAAATATCTAAACTATTTAACCACGTTTCTCTCATCTATTGGACCTTGATGGAACATACATTTCCACAGCTATGTTACCGAAACAGTTCTCTCAACTATGCTTGAGAACTCAGACACCATCATCACTCTTTAAAACGGCACTTTCCTTATCTTATGAGTTCAGTTAACCATTTAGATTCAAAGGGTAATCTCTCTCTTCTCTTTCCTATTCATTCTGTCTTGTAACAACTCTTGGCTTTTAAGGTAACTAAAGTGTCACAAGTTGCAACTTGCATTAAACAGTGTGTTGATACACTCATTACTGTTTCATATCTTGTTCTATAAATTGGGCTTCAATTTGTATTACCCTTTGATAAAAAGTTTTGTTTTTTCTTATTATTAACAGGATGGCCAATGCATATAGCACTGTGTTTTTGGTTTTACTTCACATTTACCTGAGCTTTGTGTTAACTCATTCAGCACCTGAAAGTGCCATTGTGACACAGATTCCAGGCTTTAATGGAACTTTACCTTCCAAGCACTATGCTGGGTACACATATTTTCTCTAAACAGTTTCTGGGTTTTTTTTTTTTTTTTTATTGTGTTGTGTTATGTGTGATTATGTGTCCTTTTGTTTTGGGATATTGAAGGTATGTGACAGTGGATGAAAGTCATGGAAGGAATTTGTATTACTATTTTGTTGTGTCAGAAGGTAAACCTTCTGAGGACCCAATGGTTCTGTGGCTTAATGGGGGACCTGGGTGCTCTAGCTTTGATGGCTTCATATATGAACATGGTAATTATTCAGTTTTTTACAATGCCTTTTTTTCCTTTCATACATTTTAGAATGGACAAGATGAATTTAAACCCTAAAATTGTTTGCAATTGCTCACACTAAACTCTTTTTGTTAATGACTCGTGCTCAATAGGATAGAATTTTGTAGTCCTAATTGAGATTTTTTCCTGGATTCGAATCCATGACCTAGAGGATACAAAGAAGCAATTTTACTATTGTTCCAGGCTCGCCCTCATAACACATGGATTACACCCACTTAAATTATAATAAATGGGTTATTTTTTCATGTCATCTGTATTATGGGGCATCAGAAATGCAGTTAACTGAGTCCGTGTGTTATAATTTAAATGAGTGAAACACTTTCTTCTTCTTCTTCAACTGAGTCCATGTGCTATAATTTAACTGAGCCCAAGTGGCATCAGAAATCCTTACCTAGTATTTGTTGATCCTGTGTTTTCCTTAATTCTTCTGGAAAAATGAATGATAATTGTAATTTGTAAATTGAAGTTATAAATCATGTGGCAATTGATTATGAGTTTCAGGTCCTTTTAATTTTGAAGCAGCAAAGACAAAGGGAAGCTTGCCCACACTGCATCTCAATCCATACAGCTGGTCAAAGGTCTAGATCTTTAAACTGTGATGAATTTAGGAGAGAGAGAAAGGGGGAGGGGGGGGGGGGGGGGGTTAAGTCTCTAGAGAAAGGGGTAGAATGATTTCTTCTCATAGTTATGTTCCGGGTTGAGTATCTATGTAATTCATGAATTACTAATTGTATGATTCTGTTTTGCATGATAGGTTTCCAATATTTTATACTTGGATTCTCCTGCTGGTGTGGGATTTTCATACTCGGAGAATGAAACTGATTACGAAACCGGAGACATTAAGACTGCCTTGGATACACATGCCTTTATCCTTAAGGTAGTTAAGGAAACAACTGGGAAATTTTGACATGATATTTGAATCAACAAGCCTTTATTCTTCCCAATTTTCTTACATGTCTACCTTTTTTCTTTCAACAAACCAGTGGTTTGAGCTATACCCCGAGTTCCTTCCTAACCCATTCTTCATTGCTGGAGAGTCATATGCTGGAGTTTATGTGCCTACTCTTGCTTATGAAGTAATGAAAGGTAGTAGTTGTGTCCTTAAAGTGTTGAATAAATGTGTTAGAATCACAAATAAGGTTCAGTTTCTTGATCTTCCACAGGAATTGATGCTGGTGTGAAGCCAAATCTGAATTTCAAGGTCTTTAATCTTTAAGTGATAAATTTGTGTTTTCAAGCATGTGGCCGCAATCTTAAAGTCATTGTGTGCAGGGTTACATGGTTGGAAATGGTGTTACAGATGAAAAATTTGATGGCAATGCTCTTGTTCCATTTGCACACGGAATGGGTCTTATCTCAGATGAGCTGTTCGAGGTGAAAATAAACGCCTCAATTATAGCAAGGTCACTCAGTGACTCGTTTTCATTTGATCATCTTAATGGACCATTAAATTAATTGCTTGTGGTTTTGATTTATGAAACATGTAAATATAGTTTACACTTTCTGCCATATCCAGACAATTTTGAAGTTTTTTTAATCACATTTGGTGCTTTTTCAGAAAAAGCTAATTTTCATTTTTCTCTGAATGCAATTGACTTATCCAGATGTTGATTCTGTTTTGTTCTCAATTTGAAATAACTTATTTTCTTTCTAATATCATTTATGGTAAATTGAGAGTGAGCCTAGAGCAGTGGTAAACTTGTTCCTTTGTGACTGAAAGATTTTATGGAGAATGGTTTTATGCCACCGACCCCAACTAATTTGGGATAAAGATGTTGTAAACGTTAATGTTAATGTTGATCATTTATGGTAAAATGAGGTGACCTGTCAATGTAGATGCATCATGCATTATTTTCTTTGATATAAAAGCAATGTGCATTATTTAAGGGCAAGTGCTGTTGTCTTTTAAATATGTTTCGTTTAATCAGTGGTACTTGCTGCTGCAGGCGGTTAATAGTGATTGCAATGGGAATTTCTATAATCCACTCAGTGATAATTGTTCTAGCAAGCTTGCAAAAGTTGATAAGGTGATATTAACTATATAACAATACTGGTAGGAAATGAGCTATGATGAATTTGGCACTCATTGACGATTCTTGCTATTTTAGGACATCGATGGTTTAAACATATATGACATTCTAGAACCATGCTATCATGGCACAGAGGCACAGGAGATTTCACCATCGTATATTAGGTTGCCGTCGAGCTTCCGGAAGTTGGGTGAGACTGAGAGACCTCTTCCTGTGAGGAAAAGAATGTTTGGTCGTGCTTGGCCGCTAAGAGCACCTGTGAGAGATGGAAATGTACCAACTTGGCCGCAACTGATGAATAGCAACAATGTCCCATGCACTGTAGGTTGCTTTACTACTATCTATCTTTACCATTTAACATCTACTTCCCTGCTACCAATTGATTTTCATTGCATGATTATTGATACTTGTGTATACCTCAAAACTACTTATTCTTTATTGCCAAAAACAATAAAGAACTACTAATTCTTTCATCTTTAGTGAAGTAACTGAAGATGATAGCTAAATTATAAAATGATGAAAATAGTCCAGAAATAAAGAATATGCTCAAGTGTTAGTAAGAGAAACTTAAATGCTAAAATGAAAAGCACTACTAAAAGATGTCTTATCTTGTTCTAAACCTTGCATATTTGAAAGAATGCCTGTTTATTAATGTTGGTGCTCAGATAAGAAATAAAACCAGATTGTAGAGATATCTGAGCACAAAATTGTGTCCTCAGAAAACTAAGCTTTAGCTTCTAATAGTGGTGCCTTAAAAGTCATTATTTAAGGGTTTTTAACTTATAGTTCATGGCCTACTAACATTGAAGCTAACTTACTGCACAGTAACAATTTTTTTTAATCCTTCCCACTTAATATAATATAGTTTAGAAGAACAAGTCTTTGTAACAAATATTTCCCAATTGAAGGGAGCAATATTTTCTTTTCACTCTATCTTATTACGTCATATCTTCTTTGATGAAATGTTGTTTGGGTTATATAAACATGATATGATTGTCATCGTTTTTATAGTTTAAATTGTTGTATTACTTGTTCATTGGATGTTTAACAAGTAAGGATATCCAATATTATTATCTTTAGGATGATGAGATTGCGAACACATGGTTGAACAATGAAGCAGTCAGGAAAGCAATTCACACTGCACAGGTGAGGTTTCTAATACGATACCTGTACTGTGGATATGAAAGCACTAAATCGCGATCTTTTGATGAAACAGAAAAGTTTGGTCAGTAGTTGGGTGTTATGCACGGACAAAATTTCGTTCAATCATGATGCTGGGAGCATGATCAAGTACCACAAGAACCTAACTTCTAGAGGATATCGAGCACTTATTTTCAGGTGAATTTTCAGCATAACAACATTTTTACATTTATGGTAGCCAAAACTATTCCATTGCTACACATTTAGATGCAATTAATTGATCCAGTAGATTGTATGGAATATGAGAAGGAAAAGATGGAAATTTTTCACCTTTTCCTTTTATTTGAAAAGCAGAATCTATATTTTTTCCATCAATACAATTGTCCTTGACCTTCTTGGCGACTACTGAGAAAGCAAGTATATTATGTGTATATGTTTTAGTATAGCTACAGGAAAATGTTAAATCAGTTATTTATTTATTTGATTTGAAGTTATTAGGAACTGCAATCAGAAATGTTCCGCCAATTCGGTTAGAGGCTTCAACTAATTAACTGTCACTATCACCGAGACTGACTCAGGCCCTACCCATCTATGTTCATCCCTATTTCGTCTAACGTACACCTTGGTGACAAGGGGTTTACTAACAGAAGCTTCTAAAGAGTGTACTTCTAATTTATTTTACCATGCTATATGAATGTCTCATTTTACCAGAAGCTTTCTTCTAATTTAGTGTGCTTCTAATTTATTTTACCAGGCTATATGTATGTTTCATTTAGTAGTGTTTTCCTCTCTTTGGCTTTTGATTTATTTATAGGAGAAATTTTTAGATTTTTGTCATGGACTGTGTCAAAAGTAGCACTTTGTTAGATGCTTCACATTTTGAATTTCATAGCCATTTGAAAACTGCAGGATTCAAGTGTATTTTAAGGGTTTTACTGTCTATCATTGGACATGCTTATGACAGTTTACTATGTCCACACAAGAATCTCTTCAATTCTTGTTTTCTCTTCTAAAATTTTTTATTGCCCTTGCTTTTATAGTTTTAAGAATTTATAAAATTGCTTATTAACAGCAGAGCATACAGATAAGGCATAACCTGTCTACCTAGCTGTAGTTTCTATAACCATCTTGCTGTTGAAACTGACCCTCCTGAAACTAAAACCATTTACTTGGGTTAACTCATGTTGGTGGAATTACTGGTTACCACAAAATTTATCGCAAATTTATCCTGCATGTTCAGCTTAATGGTCGTGGGACACCTCAAGTCTTATATTGGAAGTGCTGAAAATTTTAGACTAACTTATATAGTCATTGTTATCTTTGATAATTGCTTTTAGTAATGATCTTTTTTCGGGTGTTATTTGATAGAAAACTTATATAAGTTTAACATTTCTGGCAGTGGTGATCATGACATGTGTGTTCCTTTTACGGGGAGTCAAGCTTGGACGAGATCAGTTGGGTACAAGATTGTTGATGAATGGAGGCCTTGGTTATTCAATGGTCAAGTTGCTGGGTACTTCTACTTCCTTTTCCCTCTTATCCTTGTTAATGAATCTTCAAATGTTTTAATCACTTAAATGGAAGGGACCTTGTTTGAAATTCTGGGGTTGTTTATGAAATGTTTTATAATAAATCCAGATAAATGATTTTCTTTTAAGTATCATTATGAGGCATGCTGGAACACATTTTCTGGTATTGGATCTATGAATACATGCTGTCAAAATATGCCCCGTAAATGTGACCAATCTTGACTATAAAATTGAGTTAATTATCTTTATTGCTTGCAGGTTTACACAAGGATACGACAACAATCTTACTTTTATGACCATTAAGGTTTGTGTGTGTATGTGTGTGTGTCGATATATATATATATATATATGTATGAGGGAGTTTATATTTCTGCAGCTACTGTACGCGCAATACTTGTCATATATATACACATGAAAGCATTAAATGTGCAGAATCATAATCATACACTTATAATTGTTGTACGTAAAACGGCTGTAGAAATAATTTTACCCTATATGAGTAATACTTTTCTTATGTTGCATAAGAAAAGTGTTATCTCCTACCCAAATACTAAATAGAAGAGAAAAAAGAGTTGGAGATGAGAGAAAAAAATTCTTGTGAGACTCATCTGAAAAATGTGAGTGTAGGAGATAATAAATATTACCCTATATATATACATATATATAGGGGTAACTTATATTAATGTAAAATGATGCTTGTCATATATATATATATTGCAAACTACCTTAGATTGGTTGGTTTGGGCTTGATACTATTGGATTACATTGGTACAGGGAGCTGGGCATACTGTTCCGGAATATAAACCACAAGAGGCTTTGGATTTTTATAAACGCTTTCTCGCTGGATTGCCAATATGAGAGGGGGAAGAGAGAAGAAGATGGAGTAATGCATTATGCAGCTTTGGATTATCTTTATACTCTATTAATGATCCAAACGCGATGTTATATCTGTATCCTATGTTTACCTCACTAATTTATTACCACAATCAATATACTTTCTGTATTTAAAATATGACTATGGCAATTTACCTATTACAATTTTTATGATAATTTTTTAACATTAATATTTTTATCCCAAATTAATTAGGATAGGTGATTGATGAATCCAAATAAAAAATAACAAAAAATTGAGGATCTTCACTCATTGTAAGAAACATCAATCGTCAATCTATTTAAAGTCTTGTTTTATTACTTTTCTTGAAGTAAGTTTTGATTGACATTTTTTGTTTGTGTTATACTCTAGATAACTTTTATTCTTTTTAAAAGTATGTAGGGTTCTTTGAACAATATATTCAAACTATCTCAATCTATATTTTTTCATCTGTTTATCCACTAGTACAACACTTACTTTTTGTCAAATATTTTGATTTCTCATTTTATTCATCCTTATATGACAATACATTTACCTTAGCATTCTCATTTTTGCTACTCATATTTTATAATCATATTGCTTATGTATCGGCCAACATTCAGTTTCATATAACGTTGCAACAGTTATAATTGTTCTATAAAAATTTTCTTTTAGCCTTAGAATGATTTTGCAATTACATAAAAATCCTTATGCACTATGTGATTTCATCTAATTTGCTCTGTTATTATAATTTACGTCTCATTAATCTATTTCCTTATTTGCAATATTGATCCATGTATTCAAAAGCATCTTTCTTTGGTAACTTGTGTCCTAGCATATCCATAAGATCTTGATCTCAATCTATTGCCGACGTAAACTCATTTCATATATTTTAGTCTTATTTCAACTAAATGAAAATCTTTTAGGCTCCAGTGTTTTTTTTTTTTTTTAACAAAAACCTAATTTTATGGTAATTCCTGTCTTGATTTCATTAATAAGCATAATATCATCTGCAAATAGCGTATACCATAACACTTTATCTAGAATATTTTTTATTAATTCATCAGGGTAAAAAGATAAGGACTCAATGTAAATTCCAGTTCAATTTCTTCCTACTTATTAAATTGTAATAAATTGAGAATGATTTTGTCATTGCAATTTCAAATTCAAATTCTGGATATAAAACCACATTAGTATTGAAACACAGAATTTATTATTTAAATATTATAAAATATATAACTTCGGCCACCTTAATTGGTAATTTCTTGGTTCTACATGGCAATGACAATTTGTGTCATGAACCTAGTCACCACAAGAGATTAGATAATTAGAGCATAATCTAGTAAATTCATTGTATGAATGAATGGGTTTCTTGTTATCCCATATCCTTTTATTCCATTTTGGTGCATTGACCTATATTGCCATCCTATATTACCAAAGGCAGAGTTGGTGTAATTAAGCAAATCTATATATATAAAAAAAAAGTTAAACTGATATGCTATTAGGTCCTCTTCTTGACCCAAAACTAGACATCTCAGGGTACAAAAGAGTGTAATCAATTTTTGAAGGGCCATTTCTATTCTTAAGCTTGGGATCTCTATTTCTTTGCATGATCCTTTCTTCAATCTCCCTTAGTTCTTCTTTGAACTCAGCAAATCTGTTTTGAATCAATTCATTGTCTATCCACCCAGGTGATGATGACTTGCAACCCAAGTAAACTTCATCACAAGTGTGGTGTGATGAGAGGAAATCTTCCAATGCCAAAGCAAGACTCATCTCAAACCTTTCAGGTAACATCTTGATGAAAAACTTATCTGGGTCCTTGAGGAACTCACCAAATTCAATTGTTCCTTCTTTTGGAATGAACTTCCTGCATAGTGTGGGAAGATTTGGAGGGTAACCATTGTATGCATATTGGCCATAGTTTAGACATGCATGTTTGGCTGAAGAAATCCATATGAGAGTTGTTAATGCGTCTACAAGGTTTGAGAGTGTTGTCATTTGATACCACCCTATGTCACTGTGCTTGTCACCATGTCCAAGAGTTCTAATTTCTGACCACCAGGCTTGGAGTTCAATATCATTCTTGATGGCATCATCATTTGTGTAGAAGAATGAGCAATAGTCCTTGACCCATTGTTTTATGGCAACCCATATTTCAAGCCCATCAGTGGCATAGGGATAATCCAGCAAAAGAAGTTGAATCCCAGTGGGGTTATTTATGTCTGGATCTTCTACAGCCATGCCCCTACAAAATCAATTGTTGTTGTTGGATTAGCACATTTGAGTGCATGTGATGGTGAAAATGGGTAAAAAGATTTAGAGCACATCTTTAGTACTTGGGGAGTAAAAATGGGACTCGGTGACATTAATCATAAAGGAATTTGAGAAAGTTATATTTATAAACTACATTATGTCTTACCGATAATACATAGTGTTGTTTGTAAAATGAAATGAGATAAAAAAATGAATGACAGAGTAGAATAAAATTACCATGTTACTGTTAGATATTTTATGACAAGATAGAGGAAATTTTTTATTCCATTGTATAGAAAGTGAACACAATGGTAAAGAGATTAGTAAGCAATAAATTGATTCCATCCCATATAGTTAAATTAGGAGAAAAAAATTAAAGTACTGGATGAAAGGAGATGGAATAAATTTCATGAGGGAATATTTATTCTATTTGAAACCATTAAAATAATAGTAACTAATGTTATTCATTTCATCCATTTTCATCAGTCCAAACATAGTTTCCAGTGAAAGATGTCTTGAAAATTGAAACCTTGTAAATGAAAGTAGTTTCTAATGTACCTTTTGAGTAGATCAGCGGGAAGTCCTTGTTCATCAAACCTCCACTCTTTATAAAGTTCACAAGATATTTGCATACATACTTCACCAGGAAATAATATTCTCTCATGGATTCCTCCTGAGTTTATAAGGATAAGTCTTGCTAAGGCATTTATGTGCATTGTGTCTTTGAAATGAGGATTCAATATCCTATGGATTGGATGCATAACACTTAGCCTTCTTTTGGTGGCAATGATAAATGGTTCAACAACTGCATGTGTGTATAACCTGCATAATTTTTCATTGCATAAGACTTAAATGGCTCAAATAATGATAATAGAGTCTGTGTTAGTTTTTTGTCTGGATTACTTATTTCTTTAGATTTTGGAAGCTCCATGTTTCCACATACAAAGGGTCCTTGTTGTAAACATAGAAGATATATGTTATTATTTATTTCCTTTATTACTCAGATTATATAATTATTTATTTCTTTTAGTAGCTGAATTCAATTCCTTCATTATCTTATGCTAGCTAATGATCCTTTCCCATATTAATTCTCCTATAAAATAAACAAATTCTTAGGAATTCTACTTGTGCACCCATATTTTAGACAATAGAAAAGGGCAAAGAATTTTTGTCAAGTAAAAATTTAGATATTAGCATTAGAACTTTACTAATAGTGATTGCAGAGAAAGATTTTAACTCACCAATGAGTAATTAGTTGATGGTAAACAGCATCATTAGCTAAAACATGAGCTTTAGCTAGCTGCCAAAATGCTGCTTGTATTCCTTGTTTGGCTGGAAGAAAAATTCTTTGAATTTCATGTATAAAAGATGAGCCTGGCAAGCTAAGTTCTATTACTAATGGCTTAAGCATGCCATCACTCCTTAAGAATAGTAGTGTCCTTGATGCATAAGCACAAACCCCATTTGTGTTTATTCTGTTCAAATATGGAATGAGATAGTCATGGTGGTCCAGCATGAATATTCTTCTCTGTTCCATTGCCTGAAACAACGGAAAAGTACATAAGTTTTACCATTTGCATTTTATTTTCTGATTACTGAGCTTCCAAAAGAATTAAAAAAAATGTTATGATTAAAAAGGAAAGTGTATGAAGCATTTGAATTATTTAATATCTCCTGAGAGAAGTAAAAAAAAAAAGAAAAAAATGCTGATATTCTCAAAAGTCAACGGTTTCAGATTTCTGTTAGTTACCTGAGGAAATGTCCATCCTTCAAGCTTCTGTTCTATGATTGATCTTCTTATTGAACTCTTTACTCCGAACTTGTTTGCAGGTGGGAATGTCTGAAAGGTTAATTGAAACCAACAATGATCAGGCAAATTTTTTGAGTTTATATATCCTTTTGATTACACAATCAACAATTAAAATACCATTTTATTCACTTGATGGAAAAATCAACATTCACTTCATATTCTAAGGTCTAAATCATCCTTCATGCTTTGGTATTAGGAATGTTCTTAGTTGTGGCAGATTATTTGCACCAGAGTGTAACATTGAAATTGCTTCTACTATAATCTTAAAGAAGTTCCAAAGATACAGATTCATAACACAGTTGTTTCAATTAGGTCATGTGTGTAAACAAGAGATGAAGAATATAATAGTATCACTATTTAACTAATGAAGCATGTGATGAATTTCTTCTACTTCTAGACAACAATAAAAAGGCAAATCAAAGGGAAGGGTGAGAGTCAATTTGTTCGCAGCCTTATATTTGCATTTTCTACGAAAAGACTATTTATCAGACTCAAACATGTGACCTTCCGATCACAAGAAATAATTTTACCGCTGCTCCAAGTCCCGTCCTCAATTGTTTCTATATAACAATAATTGCCAATAATATTTCAAGTCATTGTTTAATGTAGAGAATGTATTTTTATATTCTCTATGTTATACATCATGACAAAAGAGATTATTTCTTAAGCCCATTTCATGAGTGTATGAAGTACCGTCAAGCACTTGATTCTAACAGGGTGAGTTCCTGCAAGCATTTGTCTTCCAAACTCCATATCATCTTCCCAAGCCCATTCATTTTCTGAAATGCAAAAGATATCTCAGAGAACAATGTCATAAAACTATTTTGTTATCAATTAGTAGTTTTGATAGAACACAAATTCTCCTTCCTTTGAGTTAAGGAGAGAAAACTCCAAATTTAACTAAGTTCACCAAATGGTACAATTTTCCAATGAGTTATCTTTGCCATCTAAAGCTTATTTAGTAGTTCATAGTATAAAATTGAACTCCAAAACTAACTAACTAACAATGTAACCAACTAACTACAATATTTACGTACAAAATCTTATCAAGCTCTTTTACCAGATATGATTTGAGGGATAGGAAATTTTTGACGGTTTTCCTTGATTGCATGAGTTATTTCCTTTAAGTGCTCAACTGGTACCATTTTCTTTAACTTGTCAATGATCCATGCTTCTATAGTTTGGTTTTTATTGCTAGAGAACATGTCAAGTATTTCTTCAAATGATTGAAAGCTGCTAGAACTTCGTTGAGGTAATGATTCTTCCTTTGGTGATTGAAAATGTGCCATGGCGTGGATACAATTTGATTTGTGATCCTTCAATTTATTGGGGCTAAATCTCTCATCTGAAGGAACATATATGTCAAAATTCATTGCTTGTGGCCTTCCCTCAGTAGATTGACCTAAAGTTTTCCAAGGAGATAACATGAAACAAGGAATGAAAATCAACTCAAAAGTGCTATCTTAGAAAGATGGTAGACTTTAAATACAGAAAAAAAAGATGGTAGACTTTTATGCAGACTTGATGTATTGCAGGCTACCCTTGATTTATCATTGAGGACTATAAAGGGAAAATCTCGGTGCACAAGGCTCCTTGATTTGAGAGGGTAGGAGTGAGAGTCAATTGTACGCAGTCTTATCCTTACAATTTTTGTAAAGAAGCCGTTCCCAGACTAAAATTCGTGATCTTCTAGTCACAAGGAGCAACCTTACTGCAGCTCCAAGACTCTCCTTCTAATTAAGGATTACAATCTTGCTTAATTTGAAATGGTTCATAATTATTTTTCAAAGCAAGAGAATGAAACTTAATTTGAAATGTAAAGCCTAGTCAAAGAAAAATATTTTTATGGATTAAAGCATGTTAGTAGGTTGCAATTCTAATGGTTCGTAACACTGAGATTGATACCTTAAAACAGAAATTTAGGGGAGGGTAATATTAAGTACCTGATGTACTATGTTTTCGACCTGTTCTCCCTCTACGAGGATATGGATATAACCTTGAACCACCAAGGATAGGTCTAAGATGCTCTGGACCTTTGTCAGGATCACCAAGGTCATTATAGCAGTCATAATCATAGATTCTATCCCATTTCTTCCTTTCTCCAATTCCATTACCCCTCAATCTATCAAGCTCTTCCTTTCTTAGTTCCACTAGAGCTCTAGGTGTCTGACTTGGAAGATAGCACTGTAATGACATAGTTTTTTAATATCATGTAACATAAGTTTTATGCTTGTAATATAAGTTTCTGCTTGTGTGTGTTAGGTGCTGGGGAGGACACCAATTGGGTTAAGATACTTCACCAATGTCAAATTGGTATGACAGCACGTATTAATCCAATATCTTAAAATATTAGATTCATGGTCTTTCCGGTATAAGATCCTCGCTTAGAGCTCATTTGGATGAGCTATTTTTTCTCTTCTCCAAAAGCTTTTTTTTTTTAAGAAAAAAAGTCATTTTTGCTACAAATTAGTATTTGAACGTATACTTTAAAAAAGAGAAGTCACAAAAAAGCCAAAAACTTGCTATTTTTTTCGAAGCTATAATTCTTTACTTATGAAAAAAAATAAAAGTAAAAAACTAATTAATTTTTTTTTTTAAATCCAAATTTGCCCCATCCCCAATCAATCTCACATCCCCTGTTATTACCACCATTACCACCGCCGCATTACCACCATCACCTCCTCTTCCATCATTGCACTGCTACTACTCGTTGCTGCCACGACTAGAACCTAAACCCAACCAATCACACCTTCACCTCCTCTACCACTACTGCCGCTGCCACCACCACCATCACTACACCCCGCCATCATTATCACTCCATTGTCGTTTGCCACCACCTCCACCATTGTTGCTACCACCCTGCCACCACCATGACCCTAGCTCCACCGCTGCCACCACCACTCCGCCACCGCCCCTGCCGCTACCACCTTCTCCGCTACAATCAAATTTGCTCTCATGATTTGTTTTCGCATATTCTTTTTAGTAATTTTATATATAAAAAGTGTTTTTCAATTTTAACATGTAAATAATAAATTTAGTTAAAAGTGTTTTTCCACATATTACGTCCAAATGAAAAATAGCTTTAACTTTTGAAAAAAGTCCTTCTAATATAATCAAGACATAAAAAGTCATTTTCTCAAAATCTCATCCAAACGGCCCTTAGTTCATTCCTAACCAATGTTAGACTTCACCACTTAAAAATCTCCCAACAATATGCAGGGTCCTCGGAATGGTCAAAATAATTGTGTGGGTCTATAGCAGGTATAGCCTTATTTTTTCATTTGCAATAGGCTGATTACATGAAAACAACACCAATCATTGTAACAAGGTTCCCCTTCAATTTCATGTAACATAAAAATTTCCAATAAATGAGGCAAGTATATAAGACTCACAGTATTTGAGAAGAAGAGTCGATCTGCTCTAGTCTTCTTGATTGGAAATATCCAAGAATTGCAATCAAAGTGAATGATGCAATTGTTAGAAGTCTCAGTAGATGCAGATTGAAGAAAGAATTTCTTCTTATATTGGTTTCGAATCACAAAAGCTCTTGGAGTTCCAAAATGTGAGTCAACATGTATTTTAATTTTATATATCATGGTTTGTGTATCATGTTCATGTTTCTTGCTCCCACCCTCCTTCAAATATGCTTTCTCACTCAACTTCCCTTTACCTGTATCTGTTCAATGCAGTCCAAAGTCCAAAACACAATAATTGAAAGGAGAAAAACTAAAAAATATTATTGATTTTAAAAAATATATCTATACAATCTAACTTACAAAGAAATAAATAATTTCAGATATTTTTCATATTTACAATTGTAATATAACATGTTCACCATTTAGAACTTATCTTATAGTAAACCATAATACAATTTAAACTGGTCATTGCACACTATCAGATAAAGAAAATACTTATACTTCAAAAGGAAAAAAAAAAACTGAATTTTGTTTCTCATTGAAAAGAATATAGTAGAAAGGTGTACTTACAAGGATCCACTTCTGTTCCACTATATATCTGAATAGAAACTAATTTTCCAGGTATTGGTTTCCTTTGATTTTGGGTGATCAATAACTTCCCCTTGAGAGTTAATTGTTTGCCAGAATGGCATGTTGGATTTAAGTTATTGACAATTTTGCTTTTGACAGAATAGGAACACTTTGGCATACTAGAAGGACTTTTAGGGTGTTCCATTAATGCTTCTATGACTTGTTTTTTTTTTTTTTTTTTCTTTGGTTCTCAATCTCTTAACCAAAATATACAATGATAGCTTTTGTATAAGCCATCTTATTGATCAAGGTTTGTTGATAGCTATTTTGAATACTTAACTTCTGCTACTAACTTTGTATCTGATGCTATACTTGCCTTGTTGAGGTTTTCTTCTACCAAAGAAAATGCTACGAATTCCACTTTAATGGGTACTAAGCAGGGATTCAAATTTAAATTAGTTTATTTAAAATAAAATAAAAAACTTAAACAAACCTATAATAAGAAAGGGAAAAACATCTATCCTGATATAAGTTTATATCCTTTTAGATCTTAACCGTTGATTTTCGTCCATCAACGGTTATAATCTATTGGGTCAAACTTAACGGCCCAAATTTATTATTAATTAATTAATAATTTTAATCCAATAAATTGTAACTATTGATGGACGGAAATCAACAGTTAGGATCTAAGAGGATATAAGTTTATATGCTTTAAAAGGATATATGTTATTCCCAATAAGAAATGTGACACTTTATTATGGTATATTGTTTTCCCAAAACGATTATTATCTATTATTTATTTGGGATAGGATATACTTATCACCAAAAAAGTTTATCACCTTTACAACTAACCTAAGCAGCGTTGATTTCGATCAATCTAACGGTTATAATTTATTTTATTTATTTGGAATTAATAATTAATTAATAAATTTTATCCAATAATTTTCAATAAATTATAACCGTTAGATTGACGAAAATCAACGGTAATTAGATTAATTGTAAAGGTGATAAATTTTTTTGGTGGTAAGTATATCCTTTCCTTATTTATTATATCTTCATAAATAATTGGACTACATCTATTTGTCACGTGACATTTTTTATTTAATTTTTGTTTAAAATGGAATGATAACTTTTCCATCCTCAATTTATTGTGACGACGTTATTCACGTGTCAAATTTTTTATATTATTTTTTAATGACAAAAGTATAAAAACTAATTAAGGTTAACACATCTAGTTGAACCTTTCGTCCATACAAAGTAATTGCCTGGGAGTTTTTTTTTTAACTTTTCTTCTCTTTATAAATAGAAGTTAAACAAGTTTTTATAAAAGTTTTGATAATAAAAATAACTTTTTTATAATGAAGAAAAAAATAATGAATAGCTTTAAAAAAAAAAAATTCAAATAATTCTTAAGCTAAAAAATTTATAAAATTATCAAGAAGCTTTTTGTTTTATTTTTAAAATTCTCATTTTTAGCTTTGATTTAAAAGTAACTTTTAACTTAAAAATAAAAAAATGTCAAACAGCCTCAAAGCGAACTTGTCCGATTCTCTGGTTAGACGCTTACTTAGGTTGCTGGTCTTTTTTGGTATTATAAAGGGATGTACATTTCCTTAATCTAATATTTTATATATTAAAAAAATTAAAGTAAAAATAAAAAAGAGGTTATGCTTATCACAGTTTTTGTCAACGAATCAATGACAATAGAATAACGTCAAGTTGAAAACCATTGATTTGATTTTCAATTTTCATCCATACATTATAGTGCTGGTAAGTGTGTCTGTATTCGATTCCTGTAAGCTCCAAAAAAAAAGAGAGATGGCACTGCGAATTTTCATTTTTCTATTCATATCTACTTCAACTACAGAAGGCAAAACTAAAGTGTTGTCATTCATGTAAAAAGAAGTTTATAGCAAAAAGGGCCTCTCTTTTTTCCCTTGAAAGTAACATATAAGCAACGAGAAACTAAAAAATCTTACCTTATGCTTCAATATTATATGAATATGTAAATGGCTGTTGGACATAGGAGAAATACACATTGAAGAGTCTGTCTTTAGAATTACCATTTGAGTTAGGATCATACACTTTCTCTATAAGGAATTATGTTAAACCATCATTTTCCTTTTAACAATCATATTCCTTTAAACTTTAGCACTTTTTCTATAAAGAATCATGTAAATGAACTTTCACACTGTAAAATTTCAACACCAGTAAGTCAAAATGCTCATCAGATAAAAGTATGGAACCAAGAGATCATAGAAAAAGATACTTTAGTAAACAGTATTCAGTCATACAATAATAACAATGCATTGGCATGAAACTAGAGCAAAAAGTAACTTTTCAAGTCTTGCTTGCCAATGCTACAAACTAATTTCTGCCATTAGATAATCACACACCACTTAGGAACAAAATTAAAAGGAACAAGCAAACTCAAAACATATTCTATGAACAGACACACACATAGATTCTAGTAACAAGCAAACCTTAAAAGATCTTAAAGGAAGATCTGTGCAAAAGACTTAGTCAGATGGGAAAGAAGAACTGAGAAACTCCTCATCTTCAAAGAAAATCTGCAAATTCTTGGACTCCATTAGGAACTCAATTTCTTCATTTTTGAATTTTAGCACAAAAGCCAACATGATCAGCTCAGAGAGTGCAGGTACATGATCATGATTCTCACGCAAAACACCCTCTGATATTGCTTCTGAGAAATATGTAGCATATTCTATCATACTTGACTCTCCATGAAGCCAGTTCATCCTCTGAGTGAAAAACTTGGAACATGTCCTTTCCCAGCGTACCATTCTGTTTGCTTTCTTGGTGATTGTGTCCCCTGATGATAGAGTTAAGCTATAGCTTACGTTGACTGGTTCTGTTGACTCAAGAAAACTCAGGTTGAGAAGACCTTTAACAGCTTCATGTCTCTTTTCAGGTTCCAATTTTAGGCTAGAACAAGCAAGAAAACCAAGAATAAGCTTAACCAATCCCTTTATGTCAAAAATACTACTTGGATCAACTTCAGCACCATTCAGTAAAGATGAATCTTCTTTGCTCACAGATTCAGAGATATTTCCAGCACCAATTTTTCTGTAAATGTCAAATAATTTACACCTGGACAATGGTGCCATGTTCTGCTCAGGACACCAGACAAAAACTTTCTTCTGCTCAAAAAGCTTCTTCAAATGAAGGTTATCTGGAATAAACATATCCTCCTTATCTAACAAAAATATTTCATTGGTGCCTGATGTTGCTGGTAGTTTCCTCAAGCTGCCAGAAATTTTCTCCATATTTGTGCTAAAGTGTTTTAAGATAAACATCCAGAACTTGAAGCACTTGTCATATGACAATTGTTCCACTGAACTCTCCCAATCATTCCAAAGGTTGAGATAATCATCAACTGAGGGCTTGGTCCTGACATCCAAGGCAAAGGTAAAAAAAGGAAGGATCTTCTTATCATAGACATCTTCTAGAACATGAAATTTTGAACCAAAAAGATTATCCGGGTCATCTATAATACATTCTTCAGGATTGACCCACTTTCCATCCTTATTTCCACACCGAATCCAAATCTTTTTGGAAGCTTCATCCTTAGGTCTCCAGTGGTGTTCATTCAAGTACCTATATATTCGCACAATGGTGTCATAATCAGAGAGAGAGTCAAGGTGACTGGCAACTATGAAACAACCTTCCTCAACATCAACAGTGACTCCTATTTTTTTTATTTCTTCCTTGAAAAAAGCAATTTTAGGTCCATAAAAGCTCTCGTCAATGAAAGGGCCATCAGTTTGCTTCAGATACAAATTCCACTTGGAATCAAACAACAAACATTTATCTGGAGACCTATAACCAGCATGGGTCTTCAACCAATTTTGCGACAATCTTTTGGTAAAATCATCTTCCATGGCAAGCTTATGCTCTTTCATTAGACGTCGGATGCATTCCAATAAAGAAAACACACTTTCAGGAGTAATGGTAGAGGGATCTGAAGGAAATTTCAGGCATTTGGGCACAAACTTCACTCCATCTTTCAATTCAGTAACAACACCAATGCTCTTCAGCTCTTCCTTGTACTCATGTATTCCCTTACCATAACAGTTGTCACTGTCATCAATGAAAGGGAGTAGAGTTATTGAAGAGATTGATTTCCACTCCAGACTATATAAAATGCAGTTTCTTGGGCACCTATAGTCACCAACTCTAGTATACAACCACTTCTCAGTATGCATGATGATTGAGAAATCGGAAGGAAAGCTATATTTAGTTCCCTTCAGCAGCCTGCAACATGAGAGGAATGGCTTAACATGGTTAAACGAACCTTGTGATGCCTTCTGTTTGAAGAGAATAGAAATGTTATTCATAGCCTCCTCAAAATCAACCACCACCCCTGTTTGCTTCAATTCATCTTTGTAAGTGAAAAACTTCCCTCCATAGTATTTATGATCAATCACAGGAATGCCATCAAATACCTCCAAAAAGCAGCCCCATACAGGATCATACAAGAAACATTTGCCTGGTGTTTTGAAACCCATGTTAGTCTTCATGCAGCTCATTCCCTTGAGTGAATTTATGAGTTTGCTAGATGCACGCGAGAATTGTATGCATTCCATGATCAAAAGAACTGCATCAGCTGTCAAATTGGCCAAATTTGAGGTTGATCTTAAGCAATCAATGACAACTTGATAATTTTTTTCACTGAAGCCAACAATAACACCCAGCAACTTGAGCTCCTCTTTGAAATTATATATTTCCCCGCCAAAATGACCATGATCAATGAAAGGTATATCACAAATTTGTGATGCAACTTGCCATCCTGAATCATACAATACAGACCCTACAGGAGACCTGAGACCATGTGATGTCTTTAGCCAACTTCCCTCTCTGATGCTTTTGACAAATTCGTCTAAAGGAAGATGACTCTGTCTCATATATTGGATGAATTTAAGCATCAAAAGAACATGACTCTTGCTTAAAGGGAAAGAAGCAGCTCGAGACATTAGTTCACTCCCAATGAATTTACATGCTTCCTCATAACTGAACATCACCCCAATTGTTTTCAACTCCTCCTCATAAGCATTTATTCTATTATCATAGAAGCTCTCATCAACCAATGAAATGTCAACAAGATCAGAACCATTTTGCAAAATTCTTCCCAATGATGAGCGAATTAAGAATGACTTCGAAGGTGGTCTCCATCCATTGGCTGTAACTTTAAGCCAGCTTCCTTCCTTTATGCATTTCAAGAATCTCTCTGGCAGACGCACTCCCCTAGACTTCAGGTTCCGAATCCAATCCAAAAGCAAAAAGGCATTGTCTTTGGTAAGTGGGGTATCTACAGCAGAAAATCCAGCATTTGGGGGAGATATATGAGGTATATCTGAGGCTTCAGCATAAGTTTGAAGGAATTTGATCAGCTGTCCAGAACCTGTATATTGGCCTGCATAATAACCTGAAGTCAAGTACTCCTTTCCCAGCTCAACATAATCTTCATTTCTCCATGGATTAGAAACAATCAAATCTGCCCATTTGCTCACATTTGCAGGTACAAGAACCCCTTTCCTGCTTTGTGTCACACATCCATAGTTGTCGACAAGTGGCATAGAACTACACAAATCATGAGCATCCCGGCTTGATAAATAATCCTTTGAGAAAGAGTGATATAAGAAATGAGCATATGAAACGGAAAGCTTGCTGTTATTCTTAATAGAACTGCAAAGGACATTAGCTAAAGTGTAGACATTCAAAGAACGAACATTAACTTCATTTTCTAGCCATTCCAGCAAAGTCTGCTTCTGGGGCAATCGCCCCATAGCTTGTTGAGTGATTTCCGGCATAAAAAACTGGTTGGATGCACAAGCAAATTCCCGGTTCCAATCAATCATCCAAGAGCAAGGACAAGACTGACTAGAATCTGCTAGGACTACTCGCTTGGAACCATTGTGCTGAGTGCATTCAGTAAGACTGAAATGGGACAGACTCCCATAAGAATCCACATATTTAATCAAAGGAATGTTCACCATGTTTGAGCCACGAAACCGTGAGGTCCAGTTTGTAGCAACAAACAATAGAAGCTTCAAATACACATCTTCTGATACTCCATCCACAAGATTAGAACTCTGGATGCACATTGCATACCAATCATCATTGACAGATTGTACCCCTAAATAATTGAGTATGTGATCATACTCGGTCTGATCAAATGAAGAACACAAGATTTTCCTTCCACCATGAGATGACAGGTCAAGCAAGTGTACTCCTTGTGCCCGAGCCTCAGTCAAAATATTCCAGAAATCAGGAAGTAGCCTGCCAACTTCACGAGGCTTATAGAAGTGCTTCTGCTCCGTGTATGTCTCGATCGGAATAATACTTTCTTCCACCAGTTTTGCTTTGATTTTCTCCCTCACATAGTTTAATTTCTCATAGGGAGAACTGTCAATGGGAAGGAACTTGAACATCCGGGGCAAACTGGAAACTGGAGCCTGATCTGATCCTATGACAAGTGTTTTGAATGCATCCATAAAAGCTGATGGAACGCACTCTAGTATCCCTTGGTTCCACTTATCATCCATGAGTATTGTCTCCCTTGATGAAGCCAGCACAAAATCTGCTTGAATTATGAAGGGAAAATTAGTTACCATCTCTGTAGGAAGAAATGCATAGACCCCTGGTAAGCTCATTCCTCTATGAAGCCTCTCCTGATTTGGAAAGGCTAATGTTATAACCCACTCTTCCACATCCATTCTCCTTTCGACCACATTTTCTAACTTCACAGGAAACTTTTGCTTCCACATGTAGTAGCTACATTCCTTTTCAGAATCACCTTTTTCTGCCGCAGATAGATGGAGTGTGTAGGACTCAGCATTCATGTTTTTCCTTGTCACAAAGTTAACCTCGCTTGAAATAGATACAGCACTGACAGTGTTCAGGTTTGGATTCTCATTATCTTCTCTGACAGAAAGGTGTCTGATTTTTGTAAGGAACAAGAGAACTTCTGGATGAATGCTTGAGAGCTGCTGTTTCACTGGTTTGACCTTGTCAGGCTTCAGAGGTAAGACAATTGTTGTAGTTGGAATAGAATCATCACCAGCACCATATATTTGCTTTATATCAAGAAGGGTTGGCTTCTCCTCGACCCATTCAGGAACTATGTAGCCAAGACCACAATGTGGACAAGGCTTCTCATTGAACCGTATCTGATATCCATTGCTAAAAATATAAGGCTGAGCAGTAATCAGAAATACACTCTTGAAGCCAATTCCTGCAATTCAACCATGGTAGAGATTCTGTCAAACGTTTTCTCCTTTTTTGTTTATTTGGCTACTCTAATGCTTATCCTTTGCCAAGAACAGTAACATAATTAAATTTAAGATTAAGAACAATTACAAGTTTAATACCATTTGCTAAAGCATTGTTAAATTAGTCTTTGTTTCTTTTCTCTGTATTACAACTAAAAGATTATCTTCACATAAACAAACTACTTGGCAATGAATTGATTAAAGCTAGTTATATGCATATATGTATAATTCATTCAGGTATTAAAATACCATTTAAGTTATTTAACTAATCTTCATTGAAAGCAAGCACATAAAAACAAGTCCTTCATGAAACAAAAATTAAGTGTGAGAAAGTACCTTTCTCGCCAATGTAACCACTGCTCCTGTTCCCTTTCTTTGTGGACCGTCCAACACCGCAGATAGATTCAATGTTTTTGGGAGAAAACCCCTTTTCATTGTTGAAAATTAGTAAAGTGGCTGGAGCACCAGTAGCTGTTATGTCCTCAGAAGTTATGATGAACTCTAGTGTTGGACTCACTCCTTCTAAGTACTGATTATCTTCTGCATTCTGTGAAAATGACAAGAAAAATTGATGATGGTGAATCAACCACTATAATAGAACAATATAATTGCATCCTTCTAGTTACAGTATTTGTTAAATGAATATACGGTGCTAAATATATACAAGAAATTTTTGCAGTACATAATTGGTTTTTTTTTTTTGTCAGAATCTAACCCACACAGATTTTTCACATAATAGGGATAATCACACATTTACACTACAACTGAGTACAGAACAACTAATGTTGGATACTGAAACAAAACACATAACTCAGCTTTTAACCAAACACATACATACACTCTCTTTGTCATTTATATAGTCTCATAACTAACAATTCCATAATACAACATCTTTTTAATGAGCATAAATGAACCCTTTTATGCTATGATTCTTAACACATCCAAGAAAAATAAAAAGGCGAATCCCCATGCACAATGCTCCTCACTTGGGAGGATAGGAGTGAGAGTTCGTTACTCTTGAATTCTCACAAAGAAACTGCTTATCATACTCGAAACCATGAGCTTCCGATTATATTGAACACCCTTATGACTCCTCCAACATTGACTTATCACACATTGAAGAAATCGAGTAAAAAATTGGTCATAAATTTATGAGAAATAATGATAACTTGGTATTATGAGTTTCCAATTTTTTACTGATTCGCAAATTATATCATATATGGGAAACATCTATGGCTTCAAAAAGTGTCATTACTTCAAAATTAAATAATGTGAGATCAGTTTATATTTGTCTTCTAACTCTGTTAAGATTAAATATGTGGAGGATTATATTTACAAACTACACTATGTATTTCCGGAAGTATACTATGTTACACTATGTATTTCTGGGAGTACATAGTCTAATTTGCAAAAATTTGTAAAAAACAATTTTGTAAACGAATTCTTTCCTAATTATATAAAGAAAACCTGTTAAGAATAATTTAAATTATTAAAAACTTAATAAAATAAAATTATGTAAAAATTATATAACATAACCTTATAATGGCATAAAAACACTATCATAAAATGTCAAACTAAGGGGAAATAATGTAATCTTAATCCTATGGCATCTTCTTTATTCTAAATAAAAAAAGTTAAAGAAAAAGTTATTTTAGAAACTTTTTATTTACAGATTATATTATGTTTTAACGGTAACACATTCTTTAGTGAAGTCTGACCGGCCGGTAAGACATTTGTAAGTTTATATAAAAAAAGAAGTTAAGAGTTAAAGATAAATTTTAGCAGGAGTTATTAAAAAATCTTATTTCTTATCTTCACTCTTGATTTTCGTTCATCGAATCATTATAATAGTTGAATATAGACGAAAATCAACTATTGAGTTATATTAGAGTCACGAAACCTTTATATATAATAGAATCAATAATCAAATTGAAAGTATAACTTATATAGAGAGATTATCTATGTGCATTATTATAGAATCAATAGCATCATTAGAGAATCAAAACGATAGCATGTATGAGAAAAGAAACAAAATAGGGAGAGAAAAAAAAAGAATGATGAAAAGGTACCTGAACGAGTTCCATGAGGAAATGAACATCTTTGGCATAAAGTTCAGCAGAGAGATTCCTGATAGCATGATGAAGGTCCTCAGTCAATGAGTTGGGTTCTCCACCAATGGAGAACTTGCTCTTTCGTAACTCTTCAATGTGCTCCTTAGGTGTTGCCATTACAAAGTCACTGCTGAAGAATACAAAGTACTGTGAATGTGTGTAAAAGAGAAACAAGACTAATCAATAAGCAGATGAAAAAAAGTGAACTATAAATTTGTGGTTTACTTATAAGTTATAACATAAGGTATAATAGTGAAGACGAGAAGACTCCTTCGTCAAGAAGGAAGGTCGTAAAAGTAAGTCAACATTATTTCATAATGGAATCATTTATTATTGTACGGTAAAGTGTTGTGTCGTTCGAAATTTCATTTTGGGAATGGATCTTCTCGTGTAAAAAAAGTAATTATGTGATCGTGTTATTTGATCACAACCACTCATTTAAATATTATACACTTTTCTCTCTCTTATTTCATCATCAATAAGTAGTTGTGATCAAATAACATGACCACTTTTCCACATGAGAGGATCTATTCTCGTTACATTTACATTACTTTTCCTTTGGAATTTTCGTCGACCTTCCCACTTTCCAACGGGGAAACAGCACTTTGTACTGATGTTATTAAAACCGGCCAATCAATTAAACCGGATAGGAAGCTAAACAATCTGATTCAATTAATTAACTGATAATCCGATTAAGAAGCAGTGAACAGATCAAGAATTGGATTCAATCTATACTAATCCGGTACTAGTTTTTTTGGTTGGACCGATTTTTGAGACTTTTAATAAAATATTCCATTACAATTACATTATTGGAATTTGAATTTGGCACGAGAGTAACAAGTTAATCAATAAGTTAAATTAAGACCCGTTTAGATGAGCTTTTCAAAAAAATACTTTTGAAAAAAAATACTTTTTATGCATTGTTTTATTTAAAAGAACTTTTTTTAAAAGGTAAAATAATTTTATGTTTGGATATATAATCTAAAAATCACTTTATATAAAATTACAAAGAGGATCTATAAAAAAAAATTTAACAAATTTTTGGGATTTACGCAAATAAAATTTGGAGAATGTGCTTGCAATATCATAAAAGACGTTCGACAAACTGCTCTGATGCTATAAGAAGATGTTTGATTGTAGAGTGATAGGTTGTTGAAAGACCTAACTAAGAAAAACAGCATGATAGTGAGATAAGGAGAGATAGAATAGGTATGATAGGATGATGTTAAAATTGTATTCTAAAAATTTATATTATTTTTTAGTTTCTGCCTTTTTCAAAAGTAACCAACTATAGGCTAAAAAAAATAGCATTTTAACTTTTATTTTAAATTTTGCTTTTTTAAAAAGTTGTTATCCAAACATTTAAAAATTCTCAAAAGGACTTTTTTTATTAAAAAAAAGTAACATTTTTAGGAATAAAAGCCCATCCAAACTTATTTTGATTGTCATATTACTTTTATTCATATATTTGTTATATAAATTTAATTTAAGCGATTTAATTAATGACTTATTAATTGAACCGGTGATCATTCGATACCCAATCGACGCTAGTTCATTTCAAGTTTAATAACATTGCTTTGTATCGTCAAATACACCTTTGCCACCAAGTTAAGCCTATTATTGTTAAGTTTTAAGACACGGCATAGTAGTTAAAATTGAGATTTTATCTAAAATCGGAAGGAGGATAAAAAATCGTAAAACGTAAAATCTTAATGTAAAAAAATTGTAAAAACATAAAAGCGTTTGGAATTTTGATAAAATTATTTTGATTAAAAAAATCATAAAATCGTAAAAGCGCATATTTAAATCGAGATTTTAACTACTAGTCACAAAAGTAATAATTTTGTCCTTTTCTTTATAAATTTTGAAAGTAGGAGGAGGTTTTAATTAGAGATGACAATTTTTAAAGTATGTTTGTATCATTTTTTTTAAACTAAAAGTTCTAAACCTAAAAAAAATAAAAGTTATTTGGTGATTATGTAATATTTTTAACATAAAAGCTCAAATCCCATTTTAAGAAAAAATGATATTAACTTTTTTATAGTCTTAAAATGATGCACCTTCTAGAAATTTTTGCCTTTTAGTTTTTTTTTCTTTATTATAAAAAACAATTGTTTTTTTAGTTTCTCAACTGGTTCTTCCTTTGAATTACATCTGATTCGAGCATGAGTCGGATCCTATTAAAATAGACAGTTCTCCCAAATTCTTTTTTTCATTCACAAGTCTTGAACTCGAGACCTCTGATTAAGGGGCTCTGACTTCTTACCATTTATGCCTGAGTTGTTTGGTAAAAAAAAATCTATTTGGCCTAACTTCTATTTATAAAGAAAAGAGAAGCTAAAATAAGAAGATTCAAATAGATACTTAATGTTGGACACAGAAAATTTGTATTCGGGTCAACCTATTTCCAAATTCATATCATGTTTGTATTAGCAAAAATTGATATGAACAAATTTATATCATATCATATGTCTACCCATGAACCTAAAATTGATCCACTTTAATCTTTTCACGTATTATTCATTTAGTTTCGTGCAAGAAGACTAATTAATAAGCAGATGAAAAGAAGTGAACTATTTTTGGTTTACTTACAGGGACTCATTAATCTCATGTTGCTAGACATATCTTGTTTAATGTCATAGAATCAAATATATGGATCCTTTTAATTTTAATTTTAATTTTATTATTTTATTTTTATAAAAGGTAAATTTCATATATTTATCTTCATGATATAAGATAAAATGTCTCCGACAATGTTATGGACTCATATATGAGGCCAATTTACTACTAGGCCCAACAAAGGGCAATCCAAATATATATCTGATATAATCAAAGGAGGATATTCATCAAAGATATCAATCTTAATGCGACTGCATTAAACGTGAGCTTGAGCGGCTAGAAGAGGCATAGAAGATCCAGAATCCAATACTCACATGTAAACTCTATAAATATGAGGTAAAAATTATATGGTGTAATTATTCTCCCTCTGTTATATTGTCACTGTGCACACACATCACTCCTTTGACGAAAGTTGTTCTCTATTCTTTATACACAGTGATCTACTAAATTCAAGAGTATCTTAACTCAGATATTTGAGAGAGCAGCTAAATTCAAGAGTAATTAACTAATTCATTGGAGTAAACATCTCTATCTCCAGAAGAAGAGAACAAACAATATAAAAAAAATATTTTCCACAACTTATAACATAGGGTATAATAGTGAAGACGAGAAGACTCCTTCGTCAACAAGAAAGGTAAAGGGTAGTCACCATTATTTCATTGAGATTTCATTTTCTCATGTTGCATGATAATTCAATTCTTATGTTGTGAGTCAACCAGTGGTGGACCCCACATTTATTAAAAAAAAAATAGAAAAGAAAAACTTTACACGCAAATCGAAAGATCACGACATGAGAATTGAATTGTCATGCAACATGAGAAAATGTTTTCCATCATTTATTATGGTAAAGGGTACTGTCATTCGAAATTTCATTGCAAGATTATTCGTTTGGAATTTTCGTCGACCTTCACACTTTCCATCAGGGAAACAGCACCGCGCTTTCTATTGCCAAATGCACCTCTGCCACCGCGTTAAATACAAATACTTATGTTAATCTTATTTTATTTTATACAGAATACTAATGTTAAATTTAATTTTATGACACATGAGTGATAATTTTGTGTTTTTCTTTGTAAATTTTTATAGTAGATAGCAATGTTCGTAAACTCAAACCGATCATGGATTCTATTGAGGTACTGGATTAACGAGGGTATTGGTTAAATTACTTAAATTAAATTTATATACAAATATATAATAATTATATAAATAGAAATAATATCACAACCAAATAATTTGATATATTGATTAGCATGTCATTTCTTTTTTCAGGTGCCAAGTTCATGTCCAAACAATACAATTTAGTGGAATATTATGCTAGAATTTTAAAAAAACCAATTCAATCAAAAAATTGGTGCTAGGCTAATATTGGTTAGACTCAAAAAAATTTCGATTTACTAGTTTTTGACCAGGTTATATATATTACGATTAGTTGACTGCTATGATGCACGGACACGGACACGGGACACGGGACACGACACGACACGACACGCCGACACGTTAATTCTAAAAAATGTCATATTTCGACACGTTGGGACACGTTTTGATATTAAATAATTTTTTTAATATATATAATATAATTTATATTTAATAAATATAAAAGTGTATAATAATTCATATAACTAATCAAATATTTAAATTTCATAACATAAATATAAATATAAATAATTTTTCGTACTTTGTTAAATTTTCATGTCAAATTTCGTAACAGAAAAAAATTAATTTATAAATTATTTATTTTATATTTAGTTAAAGTAATAAAATTAAGATTTAAAAATAAAAAAAAAATAAAAAAAAATAAAAAAAGAATAAAAAAAACGTGTCCGAGCGTGTCCGAGCGTTGACCACGTGTCCGAAAAAGTTGACTGCGTGTCGGAAAAACGTGTCGGAACGTGTCGGAGAGTTGACCGCGTGTCCTCAAATGTTGACCGCGTGTCCGAGCGTGTCCGAGCGTGTCCGTGTCGGACACGTAAATTTTCAAAAAAATCACGTGTCCGTGCTATGGAGGTTGACTGAACCAAATCAATCAAAAATTCAATTTTAGGCTAAAGTATTATTTTAGGACTTTTGAGCAAAAGAATTATCCAGTTAAAGTTGATTGGATAAGTTTTTTAAACTAATACAGTCAAACACGTCATTGATTTTGACAGTTTAATCAATGATATTGACGGGACTCGTGTCATGTCATAGCCACATAGGCAGTTCTGTTACCATAAAATTTTGGAAGGCCATAACTTTTGACTTGGAGATCCAAATAAGATGATTTTTGTTTTGATTTCACATAACTTTTCGAGATTTACGCAATGACACATCATTTGACATATTTTATCTCATGCAAACATAACTTGAATTTATAACAATAGTTCCATAATTATAAGATCATTTAAATCCAGAATATCCTGAGGTCTTTCTGAACCAACACCATGAGCTACCACATGTGTCATCTTCTGGATTTAAAAGCTCTTATGCTTGTGGTACCATTGTTACAAATTTGACCTATGTTTGTGGAAGAAAAAATATGTCAAATGAGGTGTCATTGCGTAGATCTCGAAAAGTTATATGAAATAAAAAAATAATATCTGATTTGGATATCCGAGTCAAAAATTAAGACCTTCCGAAATTTTACAGTAATGGAACGCCTACGTGGCACTGACATGACACGAGTCTCGTCAGTGTCATTGATAGCGTCAGTAACATGTTTGACAGCATTAGTTTGAAAAACTTAATCAATTAACTTTAACTGGATAATTCTTTTGCTCAAAAATCTTACAAGAGTGCTTTTCCCTCCAATTTTAGGTTCAACCTATCCGACCGTAGTGCGGTATTAATAGCACTGATTGTAATATGTGTTATGGACCCGTACAATGGGCCCATTAAGTGGTAAGCCCAACAAGGGGCAATTCAAGATATGGATTGATGTTAATCAATCATCCTAATCTTAACGTGTCAGCATAGCTATCCACACTACCTACAAGTAACCTCTATAAATACAAAGGCAAACCCTAAAGGTACATTCATTCTCTCTCTTATTGTTATGTTGTCACTGTGCACACACACACCCCCCATTGGCTAACGCCGTTATAGTATTCTGTGCACAGTGATCTCCTTGACTCAAGGGTATCTCCCTCATAGATACCTTGGAGAGGGCATCAGAACCAATATTAACATACTAGCCTAGCTGGGCTAGACATCTCTGTCTCAAGGACAGAACATTGGCGCCGTCTGTGGGAATTCTTTTCTTTGAATTTGAATCTGAAGTTCCCACCAAATCTGACAAGGGATGGCAATCCAGACGAGGAGCAGTAGCCAGCAGCCACCCCCAAACCAGAATCAGTCGTTGGATCCAGTCATTGAGGAGATAAATCAACCTCACAATTAGATCGGAAACAACGTGGGTTACGACCACGTCCAGGTCGAAGACGATGTTTCAGACACTGCTTCGACGCCGGTACGTCGAAATGGGGGAGCTGCAGCGAACGTAGCTCCGATAAGGAGCAACCCTGCCCAGCAACCTGGCGATCTGGCTGCGCGCATCGCTCAATCGGCCGATCAGGATACTCGGTTGGCCAACAACGCGTTAAACGCAATTATGGAACGAATAACAGCGCTGGAAACCCGTACTAACTTGCAACGACAACAAGATTTCGGGGCTATTCGAGAGGAAAATAACAGAGGGATGCAAGACCTGGAGCGACGATTAACACGGCGGACTACGCCATGAATAGCCAATTTCGAAGGCCAGCCTGCCCATGGCCGAGAAGGACCTAGGAACTCGGTTCAATCATACCAAGTTCCTCATGCAGAAAACCCTGGTAACCTGGTAAACCAGGGATACCAGGTCGTTGATGGCCAAGATGCACAAAACCATCAAGCACATGCCGACGGTCAGGAGGACCGGGTCAGAGCTCAGTATCAACAGGATCCTCAAAGCATCCGAGGACGAGTAGAACCTGGCGGATATAGAAGGAAGTACAGCAGGGGGCAGTATAATAACAACCCATTCACTACTGAAATTTTAAACGTTGTCTTCCCTGAGGACTTTGACTTGGCACATTTACCGAAATATGATGGGAGCCAAGATCCGCAGGTGCACATAGATGCCTTTGACACGGACATGTATATTCGAGGAATTGATGAACCTCTTATATCCCGAATATTTGCTGTAACATTGACTGGGGCAGCACAGGCATGGTTCTCAACCCTGCCTGCTAATTCCATCGGATCCTTTGAGGAGTTCGGACAGAAGTTCCTATTGAACTTTGCAACCAGCAAGAAGCATCCAAAGTCCGAGTTCGCTCTTGGAAAGATACGACAGCAACCTGGAGAAACCCTCCAAAAATACCTTAACCGGTTCAAGGACGCTGCATTGCAGGTCCCAGGGTTGCAAGAGAATGTCCACGTCCACCTCATTATCGCAGGTCTGGATGGTGGATCCAGACTCGCCTAGTCAGTCTATAAGGACCCAGTAAAGACATTGGAGGAGTTTAGAACTCGCTCGAAGAAATACCTTGAACTAGAGCAAATGGAGATTGCAAATGTGCAATCTGATGAAGGCAACAAAACAAGCCCGAGAAGGAGGAGCTCACCCCCGAAGGGAAAGGAACGAGTTGACAGCAAGAAGAAAGATCAACGCCAACGAATCCAGGACATGAGAGACCGCATTGGAAGGTATGATAAGTATACACCTTTGAATGTGTCGCATTCTCAAATCTGGAGAGAAGTAGCCACGACAGAGATGAAAAAGGTGGAGAGACCTCGTCCCATATTTGACAGAGGAGGATTAGATAAGTCCAAATATTGCGCCTTTCATGAGGGGCCAGGCCACACAACTGATCAGTGCTGGGATCTCCGAGATGCGGTGGAGAAGTTTGTAAGAGACGTCAGATTACGTCAATATGTAATAAAAACTCAAGGTTCCAAAAAGAACAAAAGGAAGTTAGGAAACAGGAATCGAAGCAAAAGCCCCGTTACTGAAAAAAAGAACAAACAAGATAAGAATCCGAAAAATGATTCCAACTATGACGAATTCCCAGAAGCGGAGTTTGATTGTAATGTAATTAGTGGAGCTTTGGGGGTGGAGGAGATACTATAAGTGCTAGAAGAAAGTACTTGAAAGAGGTACTCTCTATTCGAGATCGTCCCAAGTTCAAAGAAAACCCAACCAAGCCGGATCCACCTCTTTTATACTTTACTAAGGAGGACATGCGCGGGGTGTTGTCGGGTCATGTTGACGGACTGGTGATTGCGGGGACCCTAGTGAATTGCCGGGTTAGGAAGATTTTCGTGGATGCAGGAAGTTGTGCTGACATCATACTTTGGGATGCTTTTAAAAAGATGAACTGGATGAAGAGGACCTCAAACCTTGCAGAACGACGTTGGTAGCCTTTAATGGAGAACATACGCCTCCTAAAGGTTACATTGATCTCAGGTTAACACTGGGAACAAAAGAAGCGTTCAGATCAGAACGGGTTAGGTTCATAGTGGCTGACTTCCCTTCAGAATACAATATAATCTTGGGAAGGCCAACCATACATCAGTGGGACATGCTGATTTCTACAAAAACACTAGAAGTTAAAAATGGTGAGCAATAAGAATAAAGTAATCACTGTTTGTGGAGATCAGAAGGAATCCAGGGGTTGTTACTTTGATACTATCAAAGAAAATGAAGGGGGACGTTCGAGCCCACCCCGAATTCACTCGGGGGATAAAACTGGTAGGAATCTAATTCCTCAGCAATCTAAGAAGCCGGTCAACATGGTTGAACTCGACATGAGAGAAGAAGTAATGCCGAGACCCGAACCTGATGGAGAGCTTGAGGATCTCACGCTGGGGGTAGAGCCTGGTCAGTTTACCCGCATTGGTAAGGCCATAGACCCCCAGATCAAGCAAATTTTGGTTGACTTTCTTAAAAGAAACACAGATGTATTTGCGTGAAAGTCGTCAGAGATCCCTGGCATCGACCCCGCATTCTATTGTCACAAATTGGCAGCTTATCCGGGGTCCAAGCCAGTTTCACAAAAGAAACAAAAACTGGGACCTGAAAGGAAACAAATTCTACAGGAACACGTTAAAGAACTCTTAGATGTTGGTTTCATTCGAGAGATACAGTACACGACGTGGCTAGCAAATGTGGTGATGGTGAAAAAACCGAATGAGAAATGGAGAATCTGTACTGATTACACAGATTTAAACAAAGTTTGCCCAAAGGACGCTTATCCTATGCCTAACATAGATCAGCTGGTAGATAATTCGGCTGGATTTCGTCTGTTGTCTTTTATGGATGCCTATTCAGGATACAACCAGATCCCGATGTACCCAGCAGATCAGGAAAAAACGGCCTTTATTGCTGAAAATGCCAACTATTGCTACAATGTGATGCCATTTGGGCTTAAAAACTCAGGGGCAACTTACTAGAGGATGATGAATAAGGTCTTTGAAGATCAGCTGGGCAAAAATGTAGAAGTGTATATAGATGATATGATTGTGAAGTCATTTGATATGATGAATCATGTTCAGGATCTTGAGCAAACGTTTCAAAAGCTCAGAAAGTATCGCATCTGCCTCAACCCGGTAAAGTGCGCGTTCGGGGTGGCAGTTGGAAAATTTCTGGGTTTCATGCTAACCCATAGAGGAATTGAGGCAAACCCAGATAAATGCAAGGCAGTGCTTGACATGGTTGCACCCCAAAGTAAAAAGGAGGTCCAACAGTTAACCGGACGATTAGCAGCGCTAACCCGGTTCCTTCCAAAATCGGCTGAAAATGCCCTCCCATTCTTTAAACTTTTAAAGAAAAAAGCAACTGACGGATGGAACCCGGCATGCGAAGCCGCGTTTGAAAAAATAAAGAAATGTTTATCAACTCCACCGATCCTCTCAAAGCCAAACACATGAGATGTTTTAATTCTGTATTTGGCAGTAGGGGAGGAAGCAATAAGCGCTGTACTGATCAAGGAAACAAACGAAGGCCAGGAGCCAATTTACTTTGTCAGTAGAGCCTTACAAGGTGCAGAGGTCAGGTATCAAAAGCAAGAGAATGTGGCTTTTGCCCTACTGGTCACGGCTAGAAGGTTGCGGCCGTATTTCCAAGGTCACCAAATCATCGTCAAAACTAACCAGCCTATTCGGCAGGTGTTGCACAAACCAGACCTGGCAGGAAGAATGACTAACTGGGCAATAGAGCTCAGTGAATATGACATTACGTTTGAAATTCAGAAAGCAATCAAGGCACAAGCCTTAGCTGACTTCATAATGGAATTGACACCGCAGAACTCAGAACATGAGGAACATGGGGACACATGGAAGGTCTACGTAGATGGATCTTCCAACAATAGAGGAAGTGGGGCTGGAATCATATTAGAAAGCCCAGAAGGAGTGACCATAGAGCATTCTCCGAACTTGGGATTCCCAACTTCCAACAATCAAGCTGAATACGAAGCCCTAATAGCTGGTTTAATGCAGGCTAAAGAACACGGAGCTAGGAAAGTGCACATGTTCAGCGACTCACAGCTGGTAACCTCGCAGATAGAAGGAAAGTACCAAGCCAAAGGTCCTCTACTGATGAAGTACCTGAGTCGAGTTCAGGAAATTATGGCAGACTTTGATGAGGTTCGGGTTTCTCACATCCCGCAAGGAGAAAATAGCCGAGCTGACATCTTGTCGAAGTTAGCCAGTACCAAAAATCCGGGGAATCTCAGAACTGTGGTTCAGCAAAGTATAACAACGCCGAGTTGCGTAATGGTGGTAACCTCTGTAAATGACTGGAGGAAACCTCTGGTTGATTATTTGGAGAAAGGGATACTGCCAGAGGATCTCCTGGAAGCCAGGAAGCTGGTCCGAGATGCGACCCAATATGCAATCGTGAATGACCAGTTATTCAGAAAGGGCTTGCATAATCCCATGCTAAAATGCTTGAACTCGGAAGGAGCCGAGTGCGTTCTTGCCGAGATCCATGAAGGAATAAACGGGCACCATATGGGTGGTAAAGCCTTGGCCAGAAAAGCCCTTAGAGCTAGTTATTACTGGCCGACCATGGGGGTAGATTCTAAAGAGCATGTCAAGAAATGTGACAGCTGTCAGAAGCACGACAAGTTGATCCTTTCACCACCGGAAGAACTGAAATCTATCTTGGCCCCTTGGCCCTTCTTCAAATGGGGAATGGATCTGCTAAGACCTTTTAAAGCTGCTGAAGGACAACTCAAGTGGTTGATCGTGGCTGAGGATTACTTCACAAAATGGATAGAAGCAGAACCAGTCACCACGATCACCTCGGCTAGAGTGCAAAGGTTCTTTGAATGAAATATTGTTTCGAGATTCGAAATTCCAGCCTAGGTGGTTACTGATAATGGAACGCAGTTTGCTGATAAGAAATTCCAGCAGCTAATGAAAGACCTACACATCACACATCGTTTCGCATCGGTGGAGCACCCACAGTCGAATGGGCAGGCCGAAGCGGCCAACAAAGTGATTGTGGAGGGTCTCAGAAAACGAATGTTTGCAGCAAAAGAAAGTTGGGTTCACCAGCTATACTTTGTCTTGTGGGGTTACAGAACTAGCACCCAAACTGCAACTGGAGAAACCCCTTACAGACTAACATGTGGATGTGAAGCCTTGATCCCGGTGGAGATTGGAGAACCCTCTTGGAGAAGATTGAATAGTCTTGAACAAGGTGAACAACAGAACAGTAGAATGCTTATTGAAGAATTAGACCTTGTGGATGAAGCTAGGGTCACTGCTCACTGTCGGAATATGATGGCCAAACAACAGACTGCAGCAAAGTATAATAAGAAAGTGAGACCAAGGAATTTTGAAAAGAATGACTTGGTACTCAGGAGAGCAGATATTGGCAATAAGAATGCCAGAGAGGGAAAGCTAGCTGCAAATTGGGAAGGACCTTACCGAGTTAGAGAAAAACTCAGAAAAAGGAGCTTACATCTTGGAGACAGTTGAAGGCAAAGAAGTTAAGAGGACCTGGAATGCAGATAAGCTGAAGACATACTACAGCTAAATCTGCATTCCTCCGCTTAAATATTTCAAAATGCAATTTTTCTTTCCTCTATTAGGGGTTTGATTAAAAGTCAAGCATGCCGGCAAATTCATGTAATTCGCAATTTGATATCAATAAATGAGGAATTTTT